TGATTGTGTCTTTGTAGTTGTGTTTGTAGTTGTGTGTTTGTGATTGTGTTTGTGATTGTGGGCTTGTGATTGTGTTTGTGGTTGTGTGTTTGTGGTTGCGCGTTTGTGGTCGTGTGTTTGTGATTGTGTGTTTGTGGATTTTATCTGGCAAACTATCTGGTTGAGGTCCAGCGGTGCACACTGCGATCGGATCCTTGCGGTTGAGGTCCAGCGGTGCACACTGCGGTCGGATCCTTGCGGTTGAGGTCCAGGCGTGCACACTGCGATCGGATCCTTGCGGTTGAGGTCCAGGGATGCACACTGCGATCGGATCCTTGCGGTTGAGGTCCAGGGGTGCACACTGCGAGGGGATCCTTGCGGTTGAGGTCCAGGGGTGCACACTGCGATCCGGAGCTGGCCAGACAAGATCGGCGAAGCAGATTGGCGAGGAAGGAAGCAAGGAGGAAGGAGGAAGGAGGAGGACGAGGAGGCGGCGGAGGCGGAGGCCGAGGCGGAGGCGGAGGCGGAGGAAGAACAGCTGTGATAAAATCTAACAACCCTCACCTGGCAGGTGGGGAACTTACTACCGACGTACACAACCGGAGTTCGTGCCACGACATCTGCCCCTCAGATTGCTAAGCCTACGAGCAAATGTAAGCAGCTAGCTTTATTGTGGTCGTCCGCTTCATGCCCAGCTTCTCTGATATTGCCTTGCGGATACGTGTCACCACAAAATGGCAAAAAAGTCCCACAATGTGAGATTGAAGGCAGCTGCCTGTTTGACCTTGCGCATGGTGGCATCTGCAGGAACAGTTACCTGGCATTTGTAAAGTGAGATCTGGAAATTCTTGGCCCTACCATTTCGTTGCGGCCTTTATTGAAGGTGCAGGAGCTTCAAACTCTTCGTCAACTGCTTGACGAACAGTTATGGTAACCTTAGCCATCCAAAACCTGTTCGCACAGTTGTATATGCCATATGCCTTCACTGCACAAGCACGGCTGGGCACGTTTTGTAGGGGCCACGCAGGTGCTTTTGAAACTTTTCCCTTTGCGGTTTCCTGCTTGAGCTCTTGATATCTCTTGATCTGTTTTTTGAATCCGATGCAATTCTGTGTCCTTCTCCTCAACTAAACCAAACATAACACAGCTTGGTCCTGCCGAAATGGTTGCTGCTCAGCAGTTTTGGGTTCCGCCTTCCAAGATTCCAACCGGAAAGCGGCAAAAGGAAGCTGGATTTGCACTGACCTACTTTACATGTTCAAAAGCTGTCAGATCAATTCCACAGGACAATTTATAAGTGTAGAAGAAAACAGAGCAACACTAGGGGAGTTCCTCAATACCTTGTCAAACTATGTCAAACTTGCTTCAATCGCCTGATCAGGTTTCTTTTGCTTGATTGGAGCAGCAATCATTCCCCCTGCATGCGGTGCTTGCCAAAAGCTATCGAGCACAAGTTGATGCACAGTGCCCCGAATGCTGAAAGGAAATCAAACACATGCATCAAACAACTCTTACTACTGCATACTTCTGCACCATTTTGCACCTTACACAACGAGCGAGCTGCCAAAACACCTCGATACATCTTCACATAGTCTCCATCTCATCAGATTCTTTTGGTGCGGCCAAATCCACATCTGCTATGTCAACACCGCGCTCAACGGCAAAGTCTGGCAGCCGCTTCAGGTCTAATTCCAACCCTCGGACTGCCTGCTCAACTTGGCTGTTGTCCTGCTGATATTGTTCGAGTTCACGCGTGAGCTTTCGCAGGTCGTTGCCACAGGAAACCTGGTCCAGCTTCCGCTTCTTGTTGACCTCTTCTCGAGCTGCTCTGAGCTCAGTGGCCTCTTTCCCAAGAAGCTTCTCAGCACCACGGATCAGAATGTTGTGAGCTATCCACGCCTTCTTGCCCCATTGTTCTAGGAGTTCAAGATTTAGTGCCTTTATTCGAGTATACTCAAAGTTCATCTTAGTTGTGGAAGTAATTCTCTTCCAGGCGTCCTCGTCTTCTGCTGCTTCCCCTTCTGGCCGTTCCACTTCATATTTTTTCAACTCAATGGCCCCCAAAGGTTGCCGCATTGAAACTCTGGAGAATTCCTCCTGCATCTTTGAGCTGTTCAGCAACGGCAGTTCTGGAGCAGGCAATGATGCCAAGTAGTCCCTTGGCTCAAACTGAGTCATCTCCTCTTCAATCAAGGCCTTCACTTGCTGAGCTACTTCTGCAGCTCCAAGCTGAGTGTCTATGTAGGGCAAGGCATCCACCAAAGAGAAGTGCTCATTCTCCATATACAGCAGCTCCTCCATTGTTTGACAATTGCACGGCTTCGGGCCGATTCGAGCTCGAAGCTTTGTTTGAGCCAACGGTCGTAGGCGGCATCAATGCTTTATGCTGCATCTTTCAGAGCCTTGGACTTTACAGCTTCGCACTTCAAAACAAGTTGATCTTTGCAGATCCGCACTGAGCCTGAAGTAATACGGAGGAGTTTGTCAATCTCTAGGCTGAGGGAGTACACTTCGGGCGTATGCGCAACCTTGGCAGCATGACGAATCCAGCACCTTCGTTTAATGTGGGCTGATGTCTTTGCCACGAAGGCACTTTTCCGAAAGCAGTCATCATGTTTTGGGCTGCAAAGTCTCCTTCAAAGCCCCACCTGATGCATGTCAAGCGCAAACATGCTGATATGCGATTTCCCCGGTGTCCATTGGATTACGAGGGGTGCATTCAATATATACTACCAAATACTGTTGAAAAGGATCTATCTGGAGGAATTGGAAGCTCAGCACATTTACGTACCAAACCTTTGGAGAACCATGAAGAAAGGGATACAGGTCAAACCCAGCCTTGCTAGGCACTCTTTCTGTGCCATGCGCACAAGCTTGCCAAATGCCTGCATCATCTGCATCCAACAAACAAAAACACAACAAGGGGCATGGCCAAGGTTGTTGTGAGAGCTCATAAATGCAGTCTAGCTAGTGACGTGTTCAAACTTACCTTTCTTTGTATTGCTTTGTTTTGCCGACAAAACCACCAAAGAAGTCCAACAGAACTGTTCAGGAGAGACTTGATCAGCTGGACTAAGAATTGCGAATCTAGGTTCTAGCTTACAGGCAGTGAAGAAGCAAGTAGATTCAGTAGTTCGTAATCTTAAGTACCTACTAAAGACTGTGACTGAACGCAGAAGGGCTCAGGTTCGCATGATTGATTTGGTTCCTAGGTGATGAGGACAACTTGACTTCGTAAAGGATCAGCGTGGAGTTCCGCAGATTCATTTTCCAATGTTCATTGGGAGAGGCACCAATCTCCTTGGATTCATCGGTAGTTTCCGGTCTGCACGGCATTGACATTGGCAGATTTGTCCAAACTGAAATACCTGCCCCTCCTCCTTTAATGAAGTCGGTTACAAAATTGAAACAGAAGTCAGAAACAGGAGTCTGAGGTTGTGTGTGCTTTGGCAGGATGCCAAACACGTTGATGTTGCTTTAGTGTTAAGGCTTAGGACCTTAAGGTGTTCACTGGGCTATACAGCTGACTCTGTGCAGGAATCACAAGTGTCGCTTAATCCTGCTTAACCCAAGCACCAATCAACTACATGCAACCTAGAGTTTGCATTTTGCATTGCCAGAAAAAGCCTGCAAATGAAGCGATTGCCATAAATAAAGGATGTTAATAAAGCTTGGTTGGCATCACAATGGCAAAGTTTGTCAGCACTCCAGAAGCTACAGTCAAAGAAATTGATCTTTACAGCGTTCATTGTGCTCTAGCTTCTTGACTGTTTCTGGGCCTCCGGAGTACCAAACAAAATAAATGACACACAGCGGGTTGGCAAAGCTCTGCAGCAAACTAGACATTTTTTACGGGAATGCTGAGCATGCTGTCTTTCTGTACACCATTCACGTGGCCGACACCGAATCAACTATCACAAGATCAACAACCACGCGGGTAATATGACATTGGTGAATACCATTGTGAGATCAATGTTTGGCTCAATCTGTCACATCGAATCAACTCCTCAAAGGTCTTGGACCTCAAGCCAAATTTTGATAATGCGCCTCCCGGAATTTCATCTGGGTTATTGACTCCGGCCTCGGAATTCAAGAAACGACCATTGGCCATAGCTTCGCTGTCCTTCAATGCGCGATAGTTTGATTTGGAACTCCTCAGGCCTAAGCCTATAGATCTGGTAGTCAAGTCCATGACAGTTCTCTATTGCCAATACACAAACTGTTTCGGTTGGACGGCTTGCAAGCTCCGGCTCTGACATTGGATATGTGCTCAACAAGCCGTCAAGGTCTGCCTGGAACTTCGGCCTGACGGTGGTGTTCAATGGTGCTTCTGTGGATTTTTGCTGTCATGCCAGCTTTGCACGGAAAAGTTCCAGGGTTGGTCGCTTCCGCAGCAAAGGCACAAACCCTCGAGGCTTTTAACTTGACCACTGGACTACTCAATCGAGCTCCAAGAAACATATAGAAACATGTTAATTTTCTCTAAAAGTCTAGGAACCAAATCATTAGTGCGCTTCTTCAAGGAAGCTACCCCCGCCACCTTTAGGGCAGCGGGGGAGCTTCCTTGAAGAAGCGTGAGCTATCCAGCATCCTGTCAGTAGTAGCTTTAGCTACTACTAGCTACCTCTGCACGGCCTACCCCCCCTTAAAAGAAGGGACAAGTGATCTGGACAATTTGTCCAAAGTCCGTGTGTGCTCCGCTTGGCTTTGTGCTCACTGTAAGCAACGATGAGGTCACGCTGAAGCTGTAAAGCCTCAGACTGCGCCAGCACCACACAGTCCATTCAGAAGCCGCTTTCGATTGCCTGATCCAGGCTCAAGTAGATAAGGACGGTGGTGCCATTCACATAGATTCTTCTCCTAGGACACAAATATTGAAACTGCGACAAATATTGCTAATCTATGAAATATCATGAAATATACATGAAAGTGCTTTGCTGCAAAGTCGGTGGTGCAGCTCTCCTGCCATTGAGCAACTCGTCTGTGGCCAACGCTTCAAACCGGCGAGCTGAGCCCGTGAACTTCTGGTGTCCAACTTGTATCTCCTTGCGTGTGAAAGCACTAGCTTGAGATACAAGTTGGAATTCTGAGCTTTACAGAGCTCCTTTTCTTTGACTCGCAGTTCCCGGGCCACCTCTCCGGTGATGGAGCAAGCAGCAAGCATTGTCTTGTGTTGATTTACGTGCCACGAATGGGAACTCCCAATGATCTCGCCTTCTTCCTGACAGTCTCCATACTCGCGGTGTCCAGTACCTGCACCATCTAAACGTCGAACATGTGTAGGAAAAATAATGGCAATACGGCCCTTTGAAGGGTTGAAACAGGTTGATCATTATAGTCATGACTAACTATTTACAGTATATATACAGTATACTATAATAATATGATCATCGGTTCACCTTTCCACAGACGTGTAACCAACTGCAAAATGAACTGTGGCAGTCATGCACTTCAAGCTGCTTCATGTAAAGAGTATTAGCATGTAGAGAGTACTGTCTAATTTGCGTATTTTATGTTTCATGGTGCATGTTTTTTGCCGTCCAACCACCGGCCTTTCGTGACTGAGGTTTCCCTTTCACGGAATCTCTCTTTTGCAGTCTTTTGAGTGTTCATCAAAAGACATGCATTGACGGATGACCCCGATATAAATAGCTTGTGGCTTAGTTGCTACAGGAAAAGGATGATGTTAGTGTTTTAAAGAGGCTCGGTGATCTCTGTTTTGAGCTTTGAGCTACTGTATCCGAGCCGTGATTAGTTCATGTTTCCGTAGCTGGAACAAACTTCCAGTCAATGCATAAACTAGGTAGCCACCACTCGAACTTCAAAGGCAGTGGTCGCTTACAAACCTGGAGCTGGGAAACAAAATGGCTACCAGCCGCTACTAGCACTGACGAAAGAAACAACCAAGGAGTGGAAATCGTCCTGGTTCTTGGGTGTCCGTTTACCAACTGAGAGTAATAGCACTACCACTCGAGCTTGAAAGGTGACGCACCTGTCAGCAAATGCAGCTATAATTGAATTGATTGTTAAAGTCTTGTCTATCGCGGATTTGAGTTACATTTTATACTAAACAGTAACTAATGGTTCGTCTGTCTGTAGTGTTGTCTGGGCCTCTTGGAATAGCTCTATCCCGTCTACAATCTGGTCTACTAGATCTGGCAAATGGTGCAACAGAATTTATAAAAAGTAGACTCAGCTGCCACACAGGAGGGGAAAAAACTATCTAATTCCTTGTCTAGTGTTAGCAAGGACATGATTTTTTCTTTGAGTCTTCACTGGACAGTCTTAGTAATGTTTTAGCCTCAGTCATTGCCGTTGCCAATGAAAATACAACATAATACAACAGCTTGGACATTGCTAAGATTTCTCTTAGACTCAACAATTGTTTCGGCACTCTGACCGCGGCACTCCGAGAGAAAGGCCTATAAATACACGTGTTTTAAACATGTATTAAACGCGATCATTGCCTCCACATGAAGTCTCGCTCCGGTTCGATGGTCTCTCACCTCCACTGCAGCTGTCCCAATGTTGTTGCTGTTTTTTCCCGGAGGGCCGTTCTCAGAATCAGAACTACTGGACAAAATCAAACAGAATCAGTCACTGGCATGGACACTTCGGTATGTGAAGCAGTGCTCAATCAACCTGCACTAGTTTTGGAATGGCTGGCCGCTCCACCATTGCCTCAAGTTTCACAGTCTTTGGTGGCCCCAAAGATACGCCAATGCAGAACAAAGCCTGGCCGGAGCTCCCACACACTGCTCATAGTGTAATCGCATGTTGGTGCATGTTGCAAGCATCCCACAGAGCTTGCCCGTGTGCAATCCTACAGCTTTGAAGGGCTAATTATGAATTTGTCTGATACTCGAGGAAGAACAAGTGGTGTGACAGAACATCTGGGCAATTCCTTGCAGCTTGCTCCAGCTGCACCAATGAGTAATGAATAGTGACTACAAGCAAGTGCTGCCGTAGAGAGCTGCAGTCTCAGCCTGGTCTGACACAAAGCGATGGTCATCCTCCAAGATGCAGCCCTTTGCATCACAAAGATCGATGCTCTCCGGCCTCAGAAGGAACACTTTAAATGATTTGAGGCGCCGCAGTGCACTGCATCATTATGCTAGCTGACTACATGTTGCCTGCGGATTGAAAACCGAATGGAACCACAGTGAGAGCACATTTTGCCCTGAAAGGCGGACTTCAAGAAACAGGACAATCGGTATGGGACTATAGTGAAACAAACATTTTTTGCAAAGCACAGGAAAATTTCAGCGTCAACAGCTTGTAAACTCAATGCAACAATGCAAAAGCTCAGTTTTCAGCCCGGCGGGACCCTTTTGGCTGAGACTCTTGCGGCCCCCTCTTTAGCCTCTTGCACATTGCACGCTTTAGCCCCATCACACTCCTAGCCAGGCACATTAAACATGGAACGAAAAGCAAACTAATAGTAAACAGCAATAGAATCTATGGGCCAAAGTCCGACAATGTCCAACTAGTTGATACATGTCGCGATGTTTGATGCATAATTTCATAATCATGCTGCTTCTGCTTGCTTGCTTCCCAAATTCCAACCATTCAAAATGCAGCTGCCCTCTGAGGACAGCTCGTACCGGGGTTCATCGTCATCCGAATCTCTTCAGCATTGATGGCATGGACGACCTTGCTTCAACTCACCAGGCTTCGCTATGAGAGCATCAAAAGTAGAAAGAGCTTCAAGAGCTCAAAAACCTCAGGCCTTGAAGTTCACCTTGCACAGTCACTGGATTTCACAGGCATTCAATTGAGTTAATTTCAATTGAGCGGTGTCAAAAACCATCCGGAACTTTTATTAAGATTATAACAACCTTTCGCCAATCCCTTCGCAACGCTTTCGCGGCTGCATGTTTTGCTTTCGCCGACCCACTTCACCCGACAACCTCTTTAGCTAACCCTTTCGCCGAGTTTCTGCTACTTACATCTAAGAAAAGTATCAGCAAAGGGGAATCATTCCTAATCTGCAACCACTGCTTTCGCCACATCTTCGCGAACCTTTCGCCAACCTTTCGCCTGGTTATCAGGAATCTTTGGATGACATGCTTTGTACTGAAAACCTCTTCGCCAACCCTTTCGCAACAAAATCCATTCATCAAAAAATCAGAGCCTTTCTCCAAACCTTTCGCCAAGCTTTCCCCAACTGCAGTTTTCCTTTCGCACAGATTCATAATCTTAAGTCCTACCTAAATTCTTTCATAGAGGTTTATGACGTTGCTCAATTCACATCCGGCACCTCCTTCTGGGCCCTGGAACCGTTGGAGCCTGTGAAGAGAGTCAAACATGGATGGCTGGATGGCCATGGTCTCAAATGACTATTCTGATGCAAGTTCATAGAGTTGTGCCGGACCTCCTGGCCATGCTTCCTCAGTTTCGTAAAAGTTAGGTCTTTGTGGTTGAAGATGTGAATTCAACGTGTTATCTCAAGGTTGGCTGACAAATTCTGAAGACTCCTGCTTTTGCAGCGCAATCAAATTTGGATCAACTGGCATAGAGTGGCGGAGAGTTTGCCAAACCAAGCTTCCCTCCGCGCGCCCTCTGATGGTGCTGTTGTGCGCGGCCTCAGCAAAAATATAAGCTGCTCTAGTGCAAATGGCCAAATTCCAATCATTACAAAGTTTGGACATGCCAACAAACAATATGACAAACCATATTGTAGTAAGATCATATACTGTAAGACTGTAGTATTAATATTATATATATATATATCATAGATTGCTATAATATACTGACTTCCGCAGCATCCCACCTTCTTTACAGAAGTGTACCGAACGGTCCTTTGTATATAGCACAGTCAGCAAATGGCCCAGCAAAGGGGTTGCTGCGTCATAGCTGGGGGCACGTGCCCTTGCGAGCTGACTGAGGCTGCCTTGTTCCTCCAACACATCATTGACCAACTCCAGGATAAACAACAGCGTGCTCACACCCAATTTGCTCACGAGCTTTGGTAAAAGGAAAACCACCCGAGGCTCGATATGAGGTGTCCTTGCTGTGTGATTGTATGATGCTCTTTTTCCTGGCTGCTCTTCTCGAGGAAAAAGGAACTAAAAGACTGCCAGCCATAGAAACTTCATGGAACCCGCCTTCGTCACCAAGTACTTCGTAAGCTGTAGACAACAACTTGAAAGCGGCCTGTTTTTCAATGAAGTTCATTGAAGTTCCATCCCAAATGCTTGAATCAATTGCTGCGCAAAAAGGCCAGTGAGACAGTAACACGTGCTATCACATACTGATACTACGCAAATACTGCTTTGATCCTCTTTGCATCACAAGGATTCAGAAGCTTCGTATCTTCTCCGGAGTCAGGGTCAGAATGTTCATAGGAAACCAGCAAAGTGTGGGTGCATTAGTGGCTCCCTGCTCAGGAGGAGTCACTAAGGTTGAACTATCTTTACTCTACCTACGTCTATATACTTGACTCATGTCTCAACTCTTGTTCACTCTTGTCTCTACTGATGCCTAAATGTATCTACCTTTTCTTGACTTTTTACGATCTTGCTCTTGGTTGCGGTGCTGAATTCTACTTGTTTCTACTTTTCTACTTCTCTCTACATCTCTCAACTGTTCCCTCCTTTTTGCATAGTGTTCTGCTTTCCTCTAGTTACTTTCCTTCGTTTGTGTCAACCCTTTGTATAAATATAGACGTTTTTCTAGACTGCTCTATGTTTATCGACCCATTTGTTCACTTTCCTATAATTTACTGTTATTATAGTTTTCCACACTTTTGCGTATATTAATTGCTCTTTTCTCCGTCTCTTTATGCTTTCTTCTTACCTCTCCGTTTCCCTGTGTTTCTCCTATTTTTTGTGCCTTCTCTTAATTATCTCTTACGGCTCTGCAGTACCCTTTCTCCATTGCCTTGCTCTACTATTCTCTCTATGCTTCCCTCTGCTAGTCTCCTGTTGTCTCTACTTGTCTCTTCGTCTCTTTGCATTGTGTCCAAATTGTTTTGTACACCAAGTGGCATCATGCTTCTAGGGGCATGTTCCGGAACTTGTACACAACTATATACTGTACATATTTTTCAAGAAATAGATCTACTGATCTACTATGTGTACACGTCCGCAAATCCCTTCTGGCACTACTTGTTCAGGACTCAAAGGGCATCGCTGCATCGTTGGTAGACCTTGATAAATCTCACTTCGGTATCATAAAGAGCTAAGAAAAGCAGTGTTGGAAAGATTGGAAAATAATAGGAGCAAGGGAACTGAACACGATGCAAACTGCGCACATCTTTGCAGCCGTTGGTCTTGCCATGTCTTGCCCTATAAGCTCGCAAGACTCAAGCCCAAAACAAGTGCGCGCGTGAATCTACAATGATCTACAATGTATTAATCAGAAACGACAGGGAAGGAATGCAGCGAAGGGCAAAAGACAGCAGGCGAGGACAAACAGTTTACGGCTTGACCCAGCCTCTGCCTCGGTCAGTAGGTCTGAATCCCCCCCGCCAGGGCACACCTGTGAAAAGCTGCGACAAACTTGAACTAGCCAAAAAGATAAAGACATGATCGCAAAACGTGTTTTGTTGCGGGTCAGGCGGTCCTTGACTTGAAACAACTTTCCTTTTGACTCAAACACAGGATGAACACTGCACAAAACCCTCTGTGTGGCCTTGTCTGGGTGAATTCGCAGTGCAATCTGACGGTATGCGTTCCGGATGTCCTTAAATCACTTGTGCTCGAGGATCAGTGATCTCATATGACTGATTGGAACCCATGCTTCACCATGTTTGTTTTGAGCGTCCTTGGTCGCCGCAGATGGCTTCACTCCAAGGGTCTCATAGAAGTTTCTTGCTTTCGTCACCTCGAGGCTTTCTTTCACACAGTGATGCGACTATGCGATGCGCCCCGGGAGTGCCTGTCGGATGACATAGTTGGCCTTCGCGGTTCCAGCCTACGAAGATTGCTGCATAAAGCACTATGTTTTCAAACCACTGAGGTACTGAGTGAGTTTATGGCAGGTGCATCATCTGGCTGCCATGGGTCGCAAGGTATCCTTGGCACCAAGAAGTGTGCAGTCGCAAGTGTTGTTCAAACATTATAGCAAGGATGGCACAATTTGTTGTGCATTCTGACTTGTGCGCTGATGTGTTCCAACCTGTAAATCCTGTAATATTGAAAGCCAGGGCTGGTTTCTTCCAGGAAAACACTCCTACAGCATCATACAGTATCTCTATATAGAACACATTAATTAAGGAGAACTTGACGACAAGCTGGAAACTGTCAAAGCTAAAACCATGTCAGGAAGTTGGATCATGATGGTGCGGCAAACGGTTTGAACGTCGTGTCTTCCGGAGTGCGATTCTCACTGCAGCAGAAAAGGGGAAAGGCAGACGCAGTTGGCAAAACTAACAAACTAAAAACACGCGAACACGCGAGGATCAGAGCATGCTACACAGCAGTTTCGAACGTCTCATCGTGTGCACAGCAAATATCAAACCCTTGGTGGGAGGACGGTCTGGTTGCAAAGTGAAAGCGTTCACGACCGGTGAGCATTTTCACCGATCTCTGGTTGCTCTAACTCAGTAGATGATAATCTGGACTAATGGGGGATGTGGGGCACTTACCTTTGAAGTGGCAAAGTCCTACGACATTGCTGGTGGAGTGGTATGCCTAGCACGCTTCTTTGCTGGTGAAGTTGTAGTTCAGTAGTTCATTATTCATCATTATTTTTCAATATTTTTCATACCGTTGAAACAATAGGTCTTTGCAGGGGTAAGGTGGTAGACTCTTACCTCTGCTGACAGAGTACGCTTTCACCACTGGTTGAGGCTGGTGAAGTGGCAAACAAATCCGAAGCATATGCGAATATGCGACTGATCACAGCCCCACTGCACAGTGAACATGCTACGCAGTTGCATGGTGTCAGAGGAGGAACTGCCATAGGAATCAATCCTGACACCCCTTGAGGGTATCTATTGATCCGCCAATATAGTAAGGGGATAATAGGGAGTGTTGTTAAATTTGATCGAATCAATGCTTCGACCCTGTCAGTTCAACCCTTGCCTCGTGAAACAAACTGAAGGCAGGATTTCAGAAGCGACCTTTCGTCAAATTAAATGTTGCCTGAGTCTCTTCAGGCTTGGGGAATCTTGGAGGTAGGTGTAATGTGGTGCTGGCAAACCAGTTTCATTTTGTTTGAAGCGCTTGGACTTTAGGCGGCAAATAGGGGAAGATTATGCTCAGCAAGCAACAAGGATACCAGATTCGACAAACGGTAGTGTTCACCATTGAGTATGCAACAAGATGTGAAAACAAGATGGAACCAGAATGCAACCACGTACTCAAACACAAGCACCCAAACAATTCTTGACACTCTTTGAGACACTTGTGTGGGACACTCTTGTAGGACACATGTTTTTCGGTAACCTTGGTGGGACACTCTTGTGCACTCTTGTGGGACACCTTGTATCACACTCACTCTTGTGGAACGCTCTTGCGCAACACTCTTGTAGGACACTCTTGTGGGGCTCCCTTGTAGGAAGCTCTTGTAGGACACCCTTGTCGGACACTCTCGTGAGACACTCTTGTAGGACACTCTTGCGGGACACTCTTGTATAATACTCACTCCTGCGGGGCACTCTTGCGGAACACGCTCTTGAAAAACTCTCTTGTAATCTTGTAGGATACTCTTGTGGGACACTCTTGTATAGGGCAATCTTTTTGGACGCTCTTGTGGGACACCCTTGCGGGACACTCTGGTAGGACACTCTTGTCGGGCACTCTTGATTGTCGCTCTTGTGAGACACTCTTGTAGGACACCTTGCAAGACACCCTTGGGGGACACTCTTATACGTCACATTACGTCACTCTTGCGGGACACTCTCGTAGGACAGTCTTCTCGGACACCCTTGTGGAGCACTCTTTTGTAGGACACACTTGTGGGACATCCTTGCAGGACACTCTTGTAAGGCACTCTTGTCGAGCACTCTTGCGGGACACTCTTGTGGGACACTCTTGCGGAACACTCTTGAGGTCACTCTGTCGGGGCACTTTTGTATGGCATTCTGGTGGGACACACCCTCTTACTCTTGTGGGACACTCTTGTGGGACGCACTTGCGGCGCACTCTTGTAGGACACTCTTGTAGGACACTCCTGCAGGACTCTGTAGGACACTCTTGTCGGACACTCTTGTGGGGGACTACGAACGTCTTCAGAAGTCAACCGGCACGTCTAGCTCAGAACAAGTCGTACGAGACTTCCTCCAAAAGTCACACGTCAAGTTTCCAAAACGAGCATTTCGGGTGAGAATTGCAAAATTCACGCGTCAAGTCCCCAAAACGAGCGTTTGGCACGAGACTTCCTCAAAAACTCACACTTGAAGTCTGCAAAACGAGCGTTTCGTACGAGACGTCCTCCAAAAGTCCCACTTCAAGTCTGCAAAACGAGCGTTTCGTACGAGACTTCCTCCAAAAGTCGCACGTCAAGTCTCCAAAACGAGCATTTCGCACGAGACTTCTTCCAAAATTCATTCGTCAAGTCTCCTATAAACGAGCGTTTCGCGCGAGACATGCTCAAAATCCTCCAACTCACAGTTGAAGTCTGCAAAACAAGCGTTTCGCACGAGACTTCCTCCAAAAGTCACGCGACGAGACCCCCTCCAAAAGTCACACGTCAAAGTCTCCAAAACGGGCATTTCGTGCGAGACTTCCTCCAAAAGTCAGGCGGAGGGAGCTCCATCGGAGCACACACAAGCAGCCCTGCCAATCAGCTTTGCGATTCCAGCCCCTCCAAGCGACCCGCTCGCACGCCGACCCCAATGTCACAGCGACACTCACCTCCACACCTTGCAACCTCACGATTGCCTGCGCCTGCCACGAAAATCGCGCTTCCACACCTCAAAGCCCGCACAAAGTACTGCGCCTGCCACGAAAAGTGACAATATCATATCATGTTAGCTTCAGCAAGTTTTGCACCACACCACACGCTTGGAATTACTTCGACGCGTTCTGAGCACACTCCATCCACCAAAGTCGCCATTTCAGCTGAGACTTGTCACGAAAGCACAGCTTCGATGCAACACCCTGAAACGCAAATCCCAATGTCACAGCCACATCCAACACCCCAAAAAACACCACTGTCCAAACGCCAATCCCAATGTGGCTGCAAAGAAAACTCACCATGTCACAAAACGCTGCGCCTGCGCAGTGAAATCATCCTCCACACTTCATCACACTTCAACATCTCACGTTTCCCTCGCTATTTCACACGAATCTGACACGTCATGCTTCCATCCAAAACCCTCTCCAAAAGCTTCACCCAATGTCAGCGCCTTAGCGCCCCACTGCGAACGGTTGCAGATGGTTGCGGACGGCTGACAACGATTGCGATTGCTACGACAACGAGTCGCGAACAAGGCTCTACCCCCAGACCCCCAGAGTTAAACGAGAACCCTTCGCTAGGCATTCGGGAAAAATAAAAAGATCTGATCTGTAATGCAAGACAGCACGACGTAAAAGTCATTCTTTCTGCCCGCTTTGACCGAAGATTCTCCAGGACAAGGTCTGGCTTCTTGTTGAACTTGTTGGCTTGTCGTCTCTGATCTTCCCTCTTCCTGCAAGACATTTCGGTAGTGCATGCGCCAGAACGCAGAATCCTTCCGTGCCTGCGCTCTGCATTCTCCTTCGACCATTGAGCATGTGACTTCCTCAGAACACAAAGGGCTTTACATCACAACAATTCCTTAACTCTTTGTTACTAGTAGCGAACCTTGCTCCTAGCAGTAAGGCCAGGAGCCCCTAGGAAGTACCGTCCTTGCTCCTAGTAGCGATGCCCTTTGCTCCTAGTAGCGTCCAAGGCCTTTCTTGGAGCCAAGATTCCCATACTCACCGACGATTTCATGACTCGTACAGGCACAGCCACATCGCCGGCAAAGCACCTGACAAACTCTTGTGGAAAGGACAAAGCCCAGTCGAACTATAGCAAGGCCTGATCCAAATGCATCAAGTAGGAATACTTCGACAAAATGAAGCTCTGGCAGTACTGGCCTAGAGCACACAACTTGAGGCGTAAACTGGCAAACTAAGCTGCTAGAATGCAAGGTGAAGCTGGTGGTGTTCCCAGTTACAGACAAGGAGCAACCACTGCAGCGGCCACGAATTCTCGCCTACCCGAATTGCATCGAATGGCCAGTGACATTGAACAAGCAGAATGATTGATCACAAGGCTCCAACCAGTGGGTCAAACGTCATGGAGGTCTGCTCCACCTCATGTCTTGTACACTGCACAGTCTGTGTCAAGACTCACACTCAGCTTCAGTGTCCCCTGTAGTGCCCCAAACTCAAACAAGGGCTCACGCCGTGTCCACTGCAGCGCCTGTGAAAAAGGAGTAGAATTGTAAAAACAAATGACGAAGGTCCAATTGCTGAGAAACTTGGCCGGACCTGTCTGAACTTCTGTCCACTCGCTGCAGATCTGCGGGTAGTGCGTCAAGTGTTATCAATAGCCAGGGGGGTCAAACGAAACATTGAAGTTTCAGATTATTGAAGCTTGCTTGCCTGTGCACAAATGCTCTTCGGATCGCTGACTTGCATCCCCGGAATCATGACAAAAGCCGTGACCCTGCAGAAGCAACGACCCATCGGATGCAATGGAAAGAATGACCCATCGGTCTGGCGGTCTGCTCCTGATGAAGTAGGTGGAGTCGGCAGTCAAGCCCTGAATCTTACCTTCCAAGCTTGCAGGCGGACTGCCGGCAGGCTTGCTTGCTGATGCTTGCAACTGCACTCAAGCCTGTAGTAGATCTGGTCTTGTCCAACGCCGTGTTTGCACGTTTCTTTTCCTGTGTGTGCATGCCAGAATCTGTGGTTGCGCAAATTACAGAGTTCCCAGCAGTTTTGCAGTTTCAGACCATCCGTCCTGCGTCATCCACTCCAGAGAGTATAGTACAGACTTTGCAGGCACTTGCTGCCAAGAAATCAGAAGGGCCTGTGACACGTGGCAAGAGTATGTTCAGCCAGCTCTGTCCTCAAGAATGAAACTATATAATTGAGCTATGTGCTCAATGAAAAGGGCTAATTACACAGTGCCATCAGGCAATCCTAGCCTCTGCAAAGCACTTTGTCATCTGCGGCTTGAGTGAAGTGCATTGCAATAGGGGGCCGTGACCAAGATCCGTTCCGTCCTTGGACAATACTGTCTCACCAGCTGAAGTCTCAGCGATGCTGTACTTGCTCTCGATGGGCATGTTTCGGACACCACTACTTCCAGTGCATCCAACATATCATACGCGTGCGGCGCAAGCCTTCGTAAAAATACTGTTGTAATCTATGTTCGCACGTCTAGCCATTGGTGGCCAAAGAAGATTCTCAAACTAAGTTGCCAGAAAATTGGTTGTGTTTTGTACTTTTGGGCCAGGTGCATATTGGTAGTGCTTTGGAGCAGGTGTTTGTTGAATGGCTTTTGCCAGGGCGAACGTTTTATTACCTTTGTTTGGGCTGCCCACCCAACCTGCAATTCCAAAGGGTTTGACGTCAAATGCTTTGTTTGTGCAGCACGACCTGATCAGGAAACCTTCAAGAAGCAAGCAGAAACCTTCAAGAATATGAAAAATTGCGAGAGGAACCAGGAAGCGCTGATAAAGACCACGCATTTGTGGACAAGTTTCCTAAACGCCGATACAACTCAGATCTCAAACTCTTCATCCTCACTTCGTAGGGGTGACATTTTAAAGTGCATGCTGCCTCTTCTTGCCGATGATTATACCTGTGCATCACCAGCTGCTGACATGCTGTATATTGTTGTATGCTTTGTGGTGCTTCATCAACCTTCTGCTAGTCCCGGCTTGGAAAAACTTCCAAATGATATGCTTGAGCTGTCCAAGCTTGCCAAAACCTACAGTAGAGCAAATCAAATTGGTGTCATTAGGAGCACGCCAACTTCATTAACATCCATTTGTTTCAGGCAAATGAACCAAAGCTACAAATGCAAATGTATGAGAAGAAAGGCCGGGTCCATCCGCATCCATCCAGGCTCTTTTTGCCTGTCTTCTTTTGAATCTCTCGCAAGTGACTGACTGTCTCATGCTTTATTGGCGGTTGTTGGATTCACATTCAGCTGTCCAAAGGCTTACCAAAGCTACTGCCTGTATTTCTTGCTTGTTTGGAGCCAATTGTCCTTCGGGTAGCCAAAGATCTTGTCTCCCTGAAGAGCTTTGCATTGATTGTTCAACTAGTAGTAAACGCAGTAGGAACAGGAGGAACGGAGTGAAAAATCAGAGGGTCCAAACACATGTCTCGCCTCCTTGACAACGCCAAGGGATTTGGCTGTGACTCTGGGTTTCCTTCCAACGCATCAAGAAAGCAGGCAATCCTTCTCGAAAATTTGTTTTCCCAAAAATTCTAGGAACCAGATCTCATAGCACTCAGATCAAGGTGGGGCGTCCACCAGCTGCTAGTGGCACTCCTTCGCACAGACACGGATTTAAAAATGACCTCAAACTCCATGGCACCAACATAGACATCCTGATTGCGGCAGTCTGGCAAATGCGAACAGTGATGAACCGTGCTTACTATCACTTCACCTCAAAGCACCTCAGGTCTTGACTTCAGCTCTCCATGGAGTTGCCTTCTCATCATCTGAGTCCTTCTTGAAGCTTCAGTCTGGTACAAGTACTGACAGCTCTGATCTCTGAAGTGGTACAAGTACTATATAGTTCTTTTGAAGTTTGGCAGTTGATTGTCACATCTCACTCAACATTCAATGCATAGACTGTCTTAAATTGGGTCAGCTTAAAGAAAGTGTCCTCAACTCTCGTCATTGGTGTTTCGCCCGGCTTCAGCTGCTGCAGAAGAATTCCCAGGCCGACCTGGACTGAGAATTCTTATCGCAACCAGCTCTTGCACTGCGCAGGCATCGTGCCACTAAATTTCTCTCTAGGGACACCTCCTTGCCATCTATCAGCGCCCATGCAGCTTTTCCTCCAGTGCCAGCCTAAAGATTGTCAAACAGTTGAGCAGAAAATCATAGAAAATCAGTTGAATCTCAAGACGATGAAACTCTGTTAAACAGGCGTCCACCTTCATCATCAACCCCTTCATCACATGATCGCATGTCTGATGTCAGTTAGGAATGGAAATAAAAATGTGTTGCTATGCAACAAACAGCAGAACTTCCTGTATACAAATGATGTTGCAACATTATGACATGGCGGCTTGAAGCTGCTCTGAACCGAACCTACAGTAATTATTACATATTGATGTCCAGTTTGGTTCTCGCCTTGCAGAATCGGTGTCTCCTTCCTCATGCTACTTCTGGGTTGGGACATCTTTATTTGCCATCAGGTGTCGGGAGAGTCAAAACGAACATGAAACGCCTGGAAAGTTCGGCGCCAGCCTGCATGCTTGCTTCACGTGTCAGCTGAACCCAGCCTGACATATAGGTATCGTGTCACTTCTGACACGTGCAAATGGAACGTGTCTGGTGCCTTCAATCTCATACCCTTTGAGAATATGCCCTTTGCACACGATCCCAAGCTTGTCTGCCTTTCAAGCAAGCGCGTTCAAATGCTAAATCATCTGCACGTTGAGCGTGGAAAACTGCATCGCAAAAAGGACCTTGACGCTCGGTTTGGATCGAAGCAACACAGCCCTGTGCTGCACAATGAATGTAGCCTCGGAACTGCTGTTAAGTCACACCACACAGTTGTGTCGCTGCTTCCGTGAATCATCTTCAACTTGGGTGTGTTGGCAGAATATTCTGAAGAACCTGGAGCCTAGGCAGCCCACTAAGCTCTTCCGAACCTGTCCAACTCATAACAACTCAACAAGTCTCATTTAGCAGATATTGATCATGCAACATTGTTCACCTTTCTTGTGAGTCTATCTATCCGGCTGCAAGACTGAAATGATATATGGCTTGTGGTGTCTTGTGTGTCCATTTTTTGCAGAATATCTTGTTGAAAACTCAAAACCATATACAACAAAAATAATAGACGCTGCTCTGTATACAGATAATATATATATATAATTTCTCAAAAAACTTCTAGGAATTGTCCATCTGGCTGCAGGTCATACTGCTCAGTGTCACTTGTTGACACCGCAAAGGACTTGAGCTCAGGTGGCTCATTCTTTTTTGCACCTCAAAGGCCCTGTAGAGGATTTCCACCCTCTAGAGGCCTTGAGACAAGGGCTGACACCCCAATCAAAGCAACATTCCAAATTGATCGTCGAGATCCGTCAGGCCAGGAAAATCAGAAGGCCGAGGGCCTAAATCCCATGTAAAGCGCCGGTCCTTGTTTGCATATGAATCTCGAAAAGGATGCAAACAAAAAGCACATAAAAGTCAGCTGTATTCATCCGTAGCCGTAGTCAGCGTTTCAAAAGGAAGAATGAGCAAACGACATGCACATGCCTGCACTCCTGCACTGCAATGACACACAAAACAATAAATTCATGAGTCTACAGAACTCGGGTGAATTGAGCAAGAAACAAGTCTGAATATGTTCTAGAAGAAGTGATCCTTTGGGAGTTGAACGAAAATGTACTGCGCAAAACAGCAAACAAGTTTGTTCAGAGGGAAAAACACTGTTGCGCACCCCGTGCGTTGTCACTCACATTACCTATCATGTGATTGGTGACGATGATTTTGTCTGGCCGGTCATCAACCATCACTGGGGAGTTCCCAATCGATTCTTCGTATATACTTTGTTGTTTTCGACCATCATGTATACAGTAACTGATCCCACTTGTAACTTGTCGAGCACGCACAACACGCAAATAAAAAAGTCCCATGCAAAGAAGGGCTCAGACCTGGAAAAAGGGAAACAACATGTTCCAAAATCTTGTGTTTCTGGACCCCCCCAAAAAGGTGGACATGGAAAATAGACTGACTGCCGCATGGCGACCCCCTCAGCAATGACAACATTGTTGATCGATGCCTGAAATGTGAATCAAGATAGTCACAAGACACATTCATCTGGAAGAAGGAAATTAGAAAATAAAAACACAATAATACATCTGAAGCTAAAGCGACAGAAAAATATATAATGAATTCTGGCAAGAGACCCCAAACAGTGGGAATGAAAAGGAACACAGTAGGAAATAGACTGGGTAGAAGGCGGACCTTTTAGTCTCGCGTTGGTAAGTCTGTGAACCGTCCGCAGGGGCACCAGGAAAACAAGGCTTGTGGCCAGGCGCAAGAGAGAAAGGACTGGACTTTGATTGTTGCTCGTGCTGCATTCCTGCATTGGGGGAAGCGCCCAGCGTAGCACGAGGAAATCAAAATCAATCCCTTTCACGCCTGCAGCCAATGTCCAGAAGAGTGTGTCCAAAGGTTGCATGTTCACTCAGCCGCAGATCCAGAGTTTCGTGTCTCAGGGACTGAAGTCATCCAGTGGTTGCATCTATTCGTCCGTGAGCAAACAGTCCAAGTAGGACGGCGTCGCAGGAGGAGCGGACAGTAAGAAAAAGTACTCTGGCCATTGCCTGTGCACTCGCACGGCTGATCACCACAATCTGCGCGTAGGACAACTGGGTTTGTGCCCGCAGGGACGTAGGGAAGCATGTGCACGGCGACCAACCAGTTGCAACAATTTTTTCAAATAAAAGAAACTGTGGCCATTGCTTGGTGGCCCACACGTGCAGCACAGTGTGCGCGAGGAAGTTCATGTCGAACCATGTAAATAGTTGTGAAGTGGGTGCCGGGGTGCACGCGGGTGAGCAGAAGACGGCCAGAGTGTTTTCGTGCAAGGGAAAGGATTCGGGTCACTTTGTGGCCACCACGCGCCTGCAAGTTCACAAGCGCTGCACACGAAAGGCTCACAAAATCAAAGCGCTGCGCCTGCCATGGAAGCTTTCCTCTGCATGGAAGCTTTCCTCTGCTTGTGCACTTCCAACCTTGACAAAACCTTCCGCCTTCCACAAAAACTGCACTTCAACATTCATAAGTTCTGCATACATCAAGAGTCACATCGCACAGCCCTGGCGTCTCGCAGCAACAAAAAGCTTTCCAATCACAACTTCAAGATACCAAGCACCGCTTTCCCTCTATATAAGTATATATATATATTATATATTATATATATATCCACATTTCCCCTGACTTCTGGAAAGCCAGCCAACGTCCAAAGGTCAAGGTTCACCGTGCTTGCCCTGAAATCAGTCCAAAGCGCTGCACCTGCCACGAAGTAATACGAAATACGCACGTCGCAGTAAAGCCGCTCCGATCCCCTGTGCCACGACAAGTGACCACCAATTAAATCCGAGAATTGAAAGCGCATTGCGCCACAACGAGAGCACCTGTTCGGGCCCAGCAGTTTCTGCGAGCCTGCGCAGTTGAAATGCACTTCGATTATCTCGAGAGGCATGAATGTAAGCGTAAATAGCAGCGAATTCGCCGGACCCGGATGCGATTGAACCCGGCCTCACCAATTACCGTAAGAACCCCTAGTGTGACCTGATGTGACCTTTTTGGGGGATTAATTAAGTAGAAAAGATAGCTCCAAGCTCTTGCTGGACTGATGAGGACTCACCGACTACCCTGGCATACTTACTTGGCCTAGTGGCCTGGCGCCTCTTCATTTGTCCATTCTCTGCAAAGTCCCAGTTTTCATTTCCATAGGCCCGGTACCAGGAGCCTCTCAAAGCTTCACCGCAAGTATCAATGCAACATGCATACGCAATGTGTTAGATGTGAATGGTGCGCTCTCTATACACCATACACCATTCCTCGTGCCTGCCTGTATCTGCGTCTTTAAACTCGTACTGGAAGCACACAGCAATTCTGTGTCCTTCGAACGCAAACAATTCTTTGATCAGGCGGTACTCCGTCTCCTCAGAAGCTGGCGAAATGGTGGAACTGCAAGCGCATCTCCAACGCTGTCTGCTATCAAAAACCCCTGCCTTTTCCCACTTTTCTCGAAGAAAGCGAACAATAGCGTCTCTTCCCTGGAAGAAGCAATCTCGGTTCCGCCAAATGCAGTCCTGTGAAAGTCAAAGGCTGGAAAGGTTGCCTCGTAGGGCTACACCCAACACAAAAACATGTTGGCGCGTACTGCCACAGACGCATTTGGGAACACGTGAAAGACATTGAAAGACACACTCACGTCAATACTCTACCCAATTTGACTCCAACCCTTCGTCCTCAGTGTATGCCAAGCTCACCTTCTCAGGATCTCGAGAATTCCAGGCATCTTCTGCCATGCGAACCTTTTGCTCAGCATCAGCCAAATTGAAAGGTGGAAGCGGAGGGCGAACCACCCTTGGCGCCCAAGTTCATGAGACGCCAAATCAAACTGAACGAGACGAGGGAGTATGTATGACAATCACTCTGATTGCGGGTTCCCACCCCGCCTCGCGAAAATGAATTAGGGACTACGTAGCTGCATGGGTTAGCCTCTCCTCTTTGGACTCTCGCAAAAACTCGGTTTGGAAGGCCTGAAGAAAACAAGATGGAACCCACGAACCCGAATGCGCACATGAACTAAGACTTCACGCACTGGAGAACAAACGGCCAAACATCGTTTGACAGTTGAGCCATGCTGAAAAGCTTGATAGATTCCTATGTCGTAAGAACTGCCTTACGCGAAAACTTACGCGGGGGTGTTGCTTACACCGCTGCTTACGCCACCTTACGCCATTGCAGGCTTTGCTTACGCAGCATCGATATGACATAACCTGGAAATGTCTGGCTTACGCCAAAGCTTATGCAGAGCTTACGCGACCGCAGTTTTAGCTTACGCGGGGGGAGGTTTTCAGCATGGCTCAGTTTGACCCTCTTGTGGCGCACCCTTGTAGGACACTCTTGTGGGCAACACTCTTGTGGGACATTCTGGTACGACACTCTTTGTACAAAACAGTCTTGTGGGAGACACTATTGTGGAAAACTCTTGTGGGAAACTCTCGCGCGACACTCTAATGGATCTTATGGGACACCCACTCTTGTGGGACACTCTTGTAGAAGACACTCTTGTGGGACACTCTCGTGGGACTCTCACTCTTGTGGGACACTCTTGCGGGACATTCTTGTGGGTCACTCGCGCGTGCGACACTCTTGCGGTGGGACATGCGGGACAACACCCTTGTAGGACACTCTTGCCGGACACTGTTGCAGGACACTCTTGTACGACACTCTTGTGGGACACCCTTGTGGGACACTCCAAAATGAGCTGCTTCTTTCAAGACACTTCCTCCAAAAACTACGCAACGTTTCTTAGTTGAAAGCGAGCGTTTCGTTCTGGACTTCCAAGAGCCACACAGTGCTTCGCAGGAGAGTTCCTCCAAAAGTCACGCATCAAAGCCTCCAAAAGTGAAGTGGGCAGTCTCACCCGGGCAAACGGATCAAGCAGCCCCGCCAAGGCAGTTTCGCAACCCCAGCCCCTCAAAGCCTGCCGAGACACCAATCTCACTGTTACAGCGACATTCACCTCCACCCAACGTCGCAACCTCACGATGCACCCACAAACATTCAACTTCTACACCTCCAACACGCGCAAAAGACTGCGCCTGCCACGAAAAGTGACGACATGACAAGTGACAAATGTCTGCAGCAAAATTTGCACCGCACCAGGCGTTTGGAGTGATTTTGACACTTTTCTGGCACACTCACATCCACCAAAGCCGCAACTTTAGCTGAGACTTGTCACGAATACACACCTTCGAGGCAACAGCCCCAACCCCAAATCCGACTATCAACAGTGACATCCAACACCACCAACAACAAACCACCCTGCAAACGCTAATCCCACTGTCACAGCGAAGGTAACCGAGGATTTCACAAATCGCTGCACCTGCGCAGCAAAATCATCCTCCACTCCTCCACACTTCAACATATTACATTTCCACGCTATTTCACACGAGTCTGGCACTTCATGCTTCCATCCGAAACCTCCCGAAAGCTTCCCCCACTGTCAGCGCCATAGCATCCATAGCGACCCAACCACGAACGGTTGTGGTTGATTGCGGACGGTTGCGAACGCTACAACAACGCGTCGCAAACAAGACTCTATTCCGAGACCCCCCAAAGTTAAACGGGGACCCTTCCCTCCACATTCGGGAACAATCTTGGACAGGCTTACCAAGAATCTTGTGATACCACCCAGGTCAAGCCAAAGGTAGAGCCCGGAAACGGGTTATTTCAATTTGTATTAGTTATATGTGTAATGGATTGCTTAGTTGTGTTCATATGTTTCATCTCAGTTCCTGTGCCTTTATCTCTTCACCCGTCCATGTCTTTTTCGGCTGTTTTTTGCATTCAGTCTACACAAAGCAGGTTTCCCTACTTCCTACCAGCTTGACGCGGGATCTCCTTTTGCGTTTACCACACCACCTTTAGAAACAGCAAGTAACTGCGACGTCATTCTGGTCGAAAAATGCAGACGGGAGCGCAAGCCCAAATGGCCCAAACGCATCATGGCAACTTTCGGTTCGTCCAACAAGTTGAGCTGATATTGGCTACAGCTGCAAACATTTGAATGTTGCAAAGCGGTGGTTTCACTGGCACATGACACATGGCCCACATGGCCTCTTTGCCTGACTCGGTTTTGGAAGACTGCACCTGCCCAATAAGCTGTCATGGTTCGTCAATGCCAATCCACAGTGCGAACGTCAACTACAATACAAACGCATTGAGTCACTACACTAAGACGAAAAGATATGACATGATATGACATTGCAGGATTGTATCACCAGGCAGTTCTCGGAAACTGACCGTATACAATTTCTCGCTGTCGGAGATAGGAGCTGCTGACTTTGTGGACATAGCTTTCCCTCCTGACCGTCCGGTATGAGCAGAATGTTCAAAGCACAAATCAACAGGCAGCGGCAGGAAAAATTAAATAATGACCTCCTCCTTTTTCCTGACAAACCGCCCACAAAAACTGTCTATATAAAGGCGGGCTTTGATCATCCGATCTGCAACACAAATGAAATTGAATCAACACGGGCATCCTTTCAGGACCACATCAATCGGCCAAGATGGCGAGTATGGATTCAAAAGCGCATCTCGCCAAAGGTCTATACAAACTAATACCAGGCCGAATCAAACAAGGGGCTTGGGGTCCAGCCAGCAACGCGCCGGCATTTGACACCCAGTCCACTTCATCACAAATCAAATAAGTCATACTTAATAGATGGAGCGGGCATTGCCTTTTTCTCCTCCTTTGGCTGCTCCTTTGGCGGCTCAGTGCTTCTTCCGAGCCGTCCCAAATCTGCCAAGAAACTTCCAACGGATTGTTTTCCTTGATCTTCTGCACCCTGCGTCTCCTCCTTTGGAACTTCTTTGACCTCTGCTTTCTTCCCTTCGGCGCGCCTCCTGGCTTCCTCAGCCCTTCTCTCCTCCTCTGCTCTCTTGGCCTCTTCACGCTTTCTGGCCTTCTCAGCATTCCGCTCCTCTCTCTTCCTGGCTTCCTCCGCCCTCTTCT